TGTAAACTTTAAATATCAATCACTTATTATATACAATTTTTTATTTATGAATTCAGCTTAATTAGTGTTATTTTCTATATGGAATTACTCATTGTTTATAAGGATCTCTGAAGTTACTGTAAAAATGTATAGTGGTATAGATAATTATTAGTAGGAATTGTTAGCATTTAAAAGTTTTGAAAGCATGTTTACTTGCAATTGCATTTTCTAAACACAGCTTCAATGTTACAGAAACTAAAATACATTCATGAATAAGTTAAACTTTTCAGTTTAGTGGGAAAATAACTGAAGTCAACATAGCAGGTTAAGATCATTTACATTACAGACCCTTTGGATTTTATCAAGAATCTCTAGATATATATGGCAGGAGCACCAGACCAGTTATGGTAGCAATATACAATGCACAGACAAATTTAGATTTATAAATGTGCAAGATGGGTTTTGATGAGAAAAATTGTCTGGCACGGCCCATTGAACCAACTTTCCTAGCAGCAAACCTAGCAGTTGATTCAATATAATCACTCTACTTCATGTTAGTGGAAAACATGAGACCAGGAAGGTGCAATGAGATTTTTTCCTGGGGGTTATCATTGGAGATGAGAACAAAAACCATGAATGGGGGTTATGAGCATATCATTCAGTTGAGATTCTGTTCTAGGGAAAAATCAGGCAAAGATACCCTGGAAAAGTCAAGAGTAGAGTTGAAAGAAAATTTCCAAACAATTCTGCTTTATCAGGAGTAGATGACAAGACTTCAAAAATGATTGAAGAGAGGAAGGATTGAGGATTTACTCTTGTTCAAAACACTCTTGCATAGCCACTGGTAATCTCTAGAACCAAACTTGTGCAAGGCTATATGGTACTCTCATTCTATAAGCGAATAGTGACTTTGCCTTGTTGAGGATACACTTGCACTTATTACAAGCAGATATAAAGAGGACTCTCATCTCAAGCATTTCATGTTGCTTTTTTTTTTTTGTCCTTCCAAAAACAGATTATCCTTGTTTATTCCCTGGCAGAACTGAATAAACTGTCAAGTTTTACATTTGTTTCATGTAAGGTCTTTGAATTAAGATTACAATGTTAACATCTACCCAAATGGTTTTAGTGTTAACTGTTATGTGACATTTATGGAAAATAAGTGGAAAGCAAAGTTGATAGCAACTCTGGAATCAAAACAATACGGACCCTTTTAGAAACCAGTAAACTCTATTTATCTTGCATTCTTCATTTGACTATCAATTTATACCCTTGTTTCTTGTTTAGGATTGGTTTTCCACTTTTTTCTAAAGTCTACTACAACTCTATATGTCTAATATCTCTGCTTAAATTTTGAAATTTTATTTGTAGAAGTTTATCCTGTGTTTCCTGTTTGGCTTTCTGGTTCCTTCTAAAATCTTCTCATTCTCTTTCACTTCCAGTGTGTCTTAGTGGCATTATTGCCTTGCTTGGGGTGAACTGATTAAAAAAAAATGACTGTTGACAAGAACAAAAATAATAATAATAATAGTAGTAGTTCTCACCTTTGGCTAAAGAAAGAAGGGCTTCACTAAGAGAAACACACACACACACACACACACTCTATTTTTCTCTCTTTTTATGTACATGTTAAGGACATAGGAGATTGTAATGACTATATAATTGACCTAACAGGTGACATTTTCTTTATACTATTATTTCATCACTTGCATCATAATGCCTCAAAGCATTTTAAAAAATGTGATAGATTTTTTGTCAGTTATTCCACTCTAGTCCGCTCGTAACAATCATCAGGACATTTTATTTCTTGCTATAACTCTTTCCAAGTAACAAGTGTCATTACTTTTCAGAATGCCAATATGCTTGGTTTAACATGAGTTGGATTTCATTTAAAAAGAAAAATTATAGGAGTTAAGGCATTTAAAATATCTAAGTGTAAACCCATATTGTAAATGTTAATTATTGTAGCTTTCATTAGTATTTTCCTTCAATTTAGTATTTAATCCAGTTTGTATTATTTTTCTTTTATCCAAGAGTAAATCTTCTTAAGACTATTTATTTGAAACAATTTTGATACATATTGGACAAATATTATTTTGTTGTGCTTGTCCACTCAGCATTTTTTTGCCATTTAATTCAACTGTTTTAAATTCTTTCACTCCTTTTGTAAATTCAACAAGTTTCTTTTGATTTAGATAATTTCATATGTTAATGTTATTTGCTTAATGAGTACCATATATTATCTTTGAAGCTTTTTCTGTCATTGAATTGGTGTAATAGGGCAATCCAGTTTGCACATTGCCTCTGCTCCATACCAAAAAAGCTACATTTTAGCTGCTTAATATAATCCACTTTCCTTTGTGAAAATGAACTGTAACTCTATATTTAATATTTGAGAGAATAGTTAAAGGTAAAAATCTTACTTATTTTTTAAGAAATTAAATCTGTTAAATGGCTCTTGTAATGGATATCAGAAATTTTAGCATTATATTTTTTTATCCTAATTATCTTCAAGGGATCCAGAAGAATTACTGATTTATCTATTATAATGTTTGAACCTTCAAATAAAATGTATACACAAAGTCTTTTTAACCATGTTTATATATACTTAATAATCTGAAAGCCATTGTTGTAGGAAATGCTGATTTAATTGGTTTAAAATGTTCAAATACATATTTTTGATTAGTCATCAATAATTGTCTACAGTTGTAATCACAATAATTTTTCTCTTTTTCTTGTGTATTTGGCATAAATCATCTCAGTACCATCATTGCTTTTATACAATATCATTAAAAAAATTTTCTTCCACCAGTAATTAATATTAGTTGTCTGGGTAAATTGGGCTGTTGATTGACTTCATCTTCTAAAAACTATATATATATATATATATATATATATATATATATATATACACACACATAAAAAATTTATACATTTACTATTGCAGATATGGCTGAAGTGGTAGATTAAAGAGAGAGGTGTAAATTCTGTTTCAAACCTAAGGTTGGATAGGCTCAGTTTTATAGAACTAGATTTTGATTTTAAACCAAGGACTCTTCACCATGGCTGTTTCTATATAGTGTCAACATATTCACACTTAGGTGCACATAGACTTATGTATTTGGGCTATTATTCATGTACATTTCTAATAGTTACATTTCTCTGTTTCTATTATCTGTTCTAACTTATGGTTATTCTGTTGTATAAATATAAAAAGTCATGAGATGTTAAGTTGTTTAGTTAAATCCAGACTAAGCTCTTTGAGAGAGAGAGAGAGAGAGAGAGGACAACTAACATAAATGATAAACAAGCTGATGAAAAAATCTCTTAGATTCCATTACTAGAATAGAAAATATTCCCTTAAAGCAACATTGTGTTTTTGTTTGTTTTGTTTTTTTATAGAAATAATTTGGATAGGGAAGAGGTCATTATTTGCAGCATCTGACTTATGCTCTATATAATTTTTACTTTTATGTCACATGTATATCAGCTTATTAGGGATTGATTTCTCTGTCTCTTTTTTGTTTTGTTTGTTTTTTATTTGTTTCTGTTTGCCATCAAATCAACTACAGAGTTCTAAGTTGGTATTTGAACTCTAGTAGCTGTGCTTGAACTGTGAGTTTAGCCAGTTGACATTACTGTGAATAAAATCTTTTAATTTAAATTTTGTATTTGCTCTTAGATTAATATCATTTTTGAGCCAGGAAGATTTAAAAGAATTAAGATTGCATAATGATGAGGCTAAAAAATGTGTTACTTCATCTCTTGATAGCTATGTGATTGCACCACTGACAGGAATTCACTTGTGTGCCAATTGATAAATAATAAGATAAATAAATACCTTGTATACTAAAGAATTCAATGTGTTGTTATATCACTTTTATTTCTTACATTTGTCTCTTCATATAGACAAATGCCTGGTGCTTCATAGCCACATTTATGGTCTGGCAGATTTTATTTCCTTTGTTTACAACAATCGTTTTGGTTGTACCAGCGTATTTTAGTCTCTTTCTGTTTTCTAGAAGAGCTTCTGGTTTGTGCTCATACCATTTGTTTACATGGTCAAACTAAAGTTGTTTGCACAATTGCCAGTATATGACTATTCCTACTCTGTCATGCATATTTTTAAATTCTCTTTGAGAGAATTTGTTGGCATTTACTTATGTGATTTATAGTTACATCTTTATCTCAACAAAGGTGACATTTACTTTGTGTAGCTGTTTTTACTTTGGCATAATTGACTATGATGCATTTCTTCTAGTATCTAATGAAATAGTTTTTTTTTAAAGTGTTTGCATGACCTTGTCAATGACAACACTTGCAAAAGTTTCTTTCTTTTCTCACTTGTCTTACCTCACTTTCTTATTCTTTTACCATATATTCTACTGTTACAAGTGGTTGTAATATTCTCTGCTATGTTATACATTTTTTTTCAATGAACATAGTCTTTGATAAGGATGAGTCCCCCCCCCTCTCTCTCTTTTAGCATTATTACTAATATAGTCCTCCTCTAGCAAATTTTATATAAATTTGTAGAGATAAGTCACAAATTGCTTATCTTTCATATTCCAGTGTAATAACTGTCTTTATGTCTGTATCCTCTGATAGTGATTTTCTTTCACTGTACTGAGTTATAGACTTCATTCAACAGATCTTGATCAAGAATTCAGCAGTAAGGAATATGACATCAGTTTTGTCAGTATAAGTCCTTTGTCTTCATTTGGTAACCCATAGAGATTAAGTCATGATGAGACTCTTACTTGAATACAACATCTTGCTTTGTATTTTATTTGAACAGACAAAATATGTTACAGGTTGTTCATACATTTTCTATCTTTGTACATTTAATAAAACAACACATGGAAGCTCGTTAGTTTCTCTTTTATGATGACCAGAAATCCATGTTAAATTTTTTTTGTAAATCTCATTTTTTTTCTTCTTTTTTCAATTCTTTTCATCTTCCACCCCACTTTCCTGTAGATTGGTATCAACTATTTCATTTGATTTTTCTTTTCTTTTAGGTGGAAAAAACCACTGAGCAAAGGGTGAGTATTCTATTTCTCTTTTTTCTTTTCTTTTTTTTTTTCTTCTCCTGCTCTTTTTATATTAGCAGTTGTTGGACCAAAAAGTGACTATCACAGTTCTTTTGAGTCTTATGAACTGATTAATACTGAAACAGGCTTTGTGATCATGAAAAAGAATGGAGATGAAAGAAATCTTCATTAAACAGGCACCATATTTTCCAAACTCTTTATGATTAGATTAAATCTATCGAATGTTTTTGTTTATTTTGTGGCTTCAATTGATTCTTATAGCTTTTATCAAGAAGAAAAACCAAGAACAGAAATCATAGCTATTTAGAGCTTCGTTTCTTTTCCATTGCCTACTGGCAACACTTATAGTCATCAGTTGGTGTTGTGGCCACTTTGATAGTATTGGGGTTTCCTCTTAAACTATTTGCATTCACACAAATAGGGTGAGCTTAAGCTTGGACTGTCTTTAAACATTTATTTTACTCAGGGTTTGTAACAATCAATGCATTAAATGCCTTTATAATCAGTATATTGTAAAAATATATATATGAAAATATCTTCTCAAAGCCACATTCATTATCATACTGTTTATCACTTGCTATCTGAGCAGTAAGATCAGTTTTTGAGAATTTTAGGTAGTATAACAAAAGTAACCCTTATTTTTCAACCAGACCCCCCAAAAAAAAATGCCATTTTCATTTTGTGATTCTATACTATACAAATATATAATTTATTATGCTACTTTACCAACTTTACATTTGACTTTTTTTCTTTTTCTTTTTTTTTTTTTTTTTTTGTACGTTTCTCACAAAAGAATGAAATCTTTATAATTTATCTAACTATATAAACTTGAGCAGTGTGGAGAACAGTCTCCCAGTTTCATGCATTTTTGTTTCATAACTTTAATGCAAATTCATTGGTTGAGTAGTTTGAATATGCTGCTTCTAATTCTAAAAATGTGTATTGTTGTTTCCTTTTTGTAATTTCATTCTTTATGTTGTCAGATTTCTATAGTTGATGCATAGTTGGCTATATTTTGTTTCCTCAACAATTATGCTAAAATTGTGAGAAATGGTTTGTTGCAACAGGAAAATGAAAATTATGACTAATTAAAACATAAATTTTTTAAGATTGATTATGAAAGTAAGGTTTAGCAGCACCTTGTATTGGCATAATGGTTATTGAGGCTAGTCTGGTTGGCCATTAATACTGAATAGTAAGTTTGATCTTCACTGGGTGCCCCCCCCCTTATAAAATAATGCAACAAGAATTGATATGTTGTGTAATTAACTAATCAAACCAAAGATAAAATATACTGATGCATTGTGGAGATCTAGCTAACATGTCCAGTTCCATTTATTTCCATCATCACCACCAAAAAAAATTCCTTTTTAACCCCTTTAGCTTTGTGAAAAGGTAGAGTTATCACTGTCTTAGATTGTAAGTTGGATTACATGAATCAACTTGCAAATTTGTATATTGTGTTGATTTCTTGAGAATTTACAGAAGAATCTAAAGTGAAAAAGTATTATCAAGTGGAACAATGTGGAAACTTTGAATGATTAAAAAAAATTATTAAGCTTATTGGCATAGCTAAGGACAAAATATTGTCTCTTTTTTTTAAGCAAAAGGTTCTGTCCCTTATCAAGTTAATGGATTTGGCTTATTTGCCACAACATTTATCAAAAGCAAAACTAATTTCAAATCCTGAAGTTCCCATTTGTCATTGGTTAGTCTCTATTTGTAGGATCTAGTATAAAAGTTGATCTTTTAATTTCAATCTACTTGCAATGTTTTATTTATTTATTCATTTCTAAGGGTTGTGTGTTGTTATCTTTCAGCCCTTCTGCTTTTCCGACACAGTTTAGGACATTGATTGAACTATTTTGTTGCATTTTCTCAGCTCATCTATTTGTCCTCTTGGGAGAATTCACTTAGAAAATCAATAGACAAGACAATTTCTTTACTTGTTGGTCTTTTTTCTTTCTTTATTTCATTTTCTTTCTTTTCTCTGTTTGTCACTACCTTCTATTTTTTGTTGAATGTATCCTATTTGATTCTATTTTTCTTTTCCTCCTTTCTCTGTTATGCTGCTTTTTTCCATATTTTCTTCATTTTTTTGTCACTCACCCTCATTTACTGTACCCTTTTTCAATTACATCCTTCCTTATTTTCTTCCTCTCTCTCTTTATATTGCAACCACTCATTTGTTGAATTTTTTTACTTCTTCTGTGTATTTTTCTTCCTCTTTCTCTCTTGTTTCTCCCTTATTTTTACTTTCTAACCCTTTTTTTTTGTATGCCTTTCCAAAAAGAATCTCTTTAAACCAGTTCCCATCCACACCTATTTAAATTCTTGTCCACTACCATATTGCATACAAGCACATCTTGCCTGTTGTAACCATGCCATAGACACACTGTAACTCATAAAAACATCCTGCTGACACCATTCTGGATTCTCTTGTAAGTATTATTAATAAACCCAACCAAACCAAAAGCATGAAAATGAAGCCCTACCAATCCCAGATGCCTTGGTAACAACACCTCCCAACTTCCATCTAAGATGTTTTTGACTTGCACATTTTCTACCTTATTCTAATTGATGCAACACTATTTTTATCTGGACAGACAGACATAGCAATCTTGCTACTTGTTGTTTACATTTCAGAGACTATCTTCTACCACACCTTCTTAACCTCGCCCTAACCACTCACTTTTCCGTCTGGCTTGGCTTGGCCTGGTCTGTAGAAGCTATACAAATTTAATCTCCATTCAATATGATAAACCAGGTGGCTAAGAAACTACCTTGTCATGTTAGACTTATTTAAACACACACACACACACATTCTCTCTCTCTCTCACTAACTTTTTCTTTCCTTTTCTTTAATTTCTTTGACCCTCTTCACCTATTGGGACTGTAGTTGTGAATTCTGATTATTGGTAAATGTCTGTCTGCAATGATCTTCTTTAAAAACCATCTCTGTCTATGATCTCGGCTGTCCGTGGGGAGTGTGTAATCTTATTTGTTGTTGTCTAGTATAAGTAGGCCACCTTCATAATAGTTTGACACACGTACACACAACACACAGATTCTATTAAAGTGCTACTTTTTTTTTTCTCTTTTCCCCCTTTTTGTTTCTCTCTCTCTCTCTATTTGATTTCTCCCCTGTGGGTTGGATGGTGATAATGATTGGTCTTGCAATGTGTTGAGTAATTTAACAGTTTTCATTTTGGGTTTGCAATGAAAAATATTCACTATGAAGAGTAAAACATTTAAATGAAAAACATTTCTTGTCTTGTGGATATCACTTCCTTTTTTTCTTTTTCTTTTTTTTTTTTTTTTTTGACTCTTTCACTCATTCTCCATTTCATTGCTTCAAAACTTTTCCTTGTCACTTCTACTGTCATTGCCTCTGTCTCTCCAAATTTTTTTTCTTTGTTCATTGTTTGATTCTTCCCCATTCTTACTGCTTCTCTTCTTTTAATTCACTCTTTATTTTTTCCTCACATTCAAACCCTTTTACTCTTTCTGCCTTTATATTTATTTTTCCAATTTTACTGTGACAATTTTTCTCTTACTACAGATTATATTTCTCATTATATATGATTTGAAATTTTCGTTTTTTATCATTCTCTCTTACATTGCATCTCAGCCTTTTCTTATTACTTCTCATCTTTTTACCTTTGATTCCACCCGACCACCAACTTGTTCTTTCTGATTTTAACTATTTTTTACACGTTCATCATCATCATCATCATCACTCATCATACTTTTATAGATCTAATTTCACCCAATCTTCCAAATATCAAGTTTTTCTCCCCCCACCTCCATTCAATCAACCTCTTTTTGACCTTCAATTATTATATTAAAACATCTATTTCATAAGAAACAGGTATAAGTGTCTGCTAGATAAAGTACAAACTTGAATTAGAATCTGAATCTACTCACAGCGATCTATTCGTAACAGGAATAAAATATCCAAAGAGAAGACCATGCTGGATTTGATTTTGTTGTCATTATTAGTTGACTTTTGTTTGCTTTTATCAATTTACATGATTTTTAGCTTATTTCCTACTGGATGGTCTTTATATATTGTGTGAATTAAAAGTGAAGAGTTAAGAGCTGAGAAATGATTCCCCCCCCCCCCGAGTTTGTTGAATTATTTTTTATCTGTCATGCTTAGTGAATGGTACTTGTGTTTCTTCAGTAGTTGGCTATGAATTATATCCAAGTTTATAGGTTGTGAAGAGAAACCCAGTCCTAGCTATTCTGATAAATCTCTTCAACTGAAAAAAAATAATTTGCTTTTACGTTTTTGTTGTTTTTTGTTCCAAGATGAACTGGATGTCCACTTGACTCTTTCTCTCCCTCATTATTGTTGCTAAGGTAACTTCCAACTTTTCACTTCAAACTGTTGATGTCACTATATCATCTTGATAAAATAGGTATTTAATAAAGCCAGTTCATTACAAAACTTTAAATTTTGTACCCCCCCACCACCACCACCATAGAAATCATCTTTTGATTATGTGATATGAAGAAGAAATTATGCTTGTATTTTTTAAATTTTTTATCAGTTTATTTATACTGTAGCTTAATTTACTGTGTTGTATCTATGGCAATTCTTGGCATCTTATTTTCAGCTACAATTGCTATGGTCATAATAGTTAGGAGTAGTAGTCTGACATAAAAATGTATTAGTTGTTTTTCTGGCATAATTTTAATGCATTATTCACTTGTCTGAAAAAAAAAATTATCTTCACTGTATCAAGTTGTAATCAAAATGACCAATTCCTATGTGGCTATCTTACCTTCACTACTATTCAAGATGATATCCACTAAAATGAAACTAAATGTGATTTAGAGATGTGATTGAATCTAAGGGAGGTAATTCTTATTTCAGTGAAGACATTGAAACGGTCTTATGAAAAAAAAGCAAGAAAAAAAAAAGCAGTTGTACACATCAAAAACGACTGCTGCTGCAGAGCAGCAGTTACTTTTGTAATTTGGAAATGAGTTGCATCCAGTTCTTAAACAAATGATAGTATAAAATATACAGAACTCTAATTATGCTCTTAAACATGATTTGAACCAAATTTATACAGCTTATCTATAAAGTATAATCTGCCATGTTATGAGCAGAAGGCAATCTAATACTTGACATGCTTTTTGCATGGAATGTTAACAATCGATACAATAATAAATACTGCTTTTGCTGTTGTAGTTAGTTAAGCACTAATACAATTGTTCACTATCAAGTTTTAATCCAGTTTCTAGTTGATTTCACAATATTTTTATAGAGCTCTATATTCTATTTTAAGACAAAATAGTAATTAAAACAAATAAACTTGCTCTTTTATTTTATTCATTATTGAAATGTTATGATTTTGCCATTTATATTAGTGCTTGGGATGTTAGCAGCCATAATAAATTAATCTACCTAACATTGTGGTTTCAGAATATTTGCTTTTCACTCAGAGTACTCAGGACCTATGTATTGATAAAACATAGATCATTTTTTTATGATTGAAAAAAATCCAAAAGAATTAACCAGTTCAACTATTATGACAAAATCTTTGGGCTGGCATTTTCTTTGAATAGCTACATTAGAAAAGTTAAATTACAACTTAGTTTAAATATTTTACTAGAAATATCAGGAAACTTACTAATTACTAATTTAAATTATACTGAACATTTGACTATACTTTTCGTTCTTTGAGAATAGGAAGAAATATTTGCTATTTACTGCAGTTGTTCAACAATTAACTTGTTTGAGTGAAGTCTTACAGGTAACTAGCATATAGGACTGTATCTGCAATATAGAGAAGTTTAGTGTTTATAGAAAGCTTTTGGATGCATAGTGTGTTCTCTTCTTGACTGGGAAGATTTAGATTGGGACCTGTAATAAATCTTGTAAAAAGTTCATTGAATAGACAACTGCTGAATAAATAACAACTACAATTACAACTTATATGGTATGTGTACTTCATGAATATTTATGCTATTCATCTTTCTTAAATCTCTTCATTTTATGACTTGAGTAACAAATCTGAATTGATTTTTAGTAAAAAAAAATACAGAAAGGTTTACACTGATGATTAAATAGAAAAACGTAAGATATTCTAAAGAATCCAGCTCAATATCTGCCACAGTAACTTGATACTATCATTTTCTTTTAATATTATTTTTCCTTGAAAAATCATGCCTACATTGTCAATCTTGGAAGAGAAATATGTATTTGGGTTGCAAAGTCTTCAAAGTATTTGTTAAAAGATCTCTATCATATGCATACAATGGATGAACTGATAAAAAGAACAAATATAATTTTTATTAAAGAATGCAGAATAAATTTTGCTTCCTCAATTCACTGTAATTTTAGGGTTTCTTCCTTCAGGACTGTCAAAGACTAATTTCTTGAGCAATCAAAAGTAACTGAACAAAGATAAATCAGTGCATCATTCTTGTTTTGTATGTCAGTGTATCAGGTGTAGCAGATACATTTACCAATTATTCATTTTATCATAAAAGGTTTTAGGTTTTTGTTAATGAAAGTTTACAGGTTGATTGTTATATTTATTGATAATATTTTACATATATTGACAATTCAAAATGGCTATAAACCGTAACCTCTTCTCAACTTGAAATGGAATACTTCTTCATCATTTCTTCACTCAAATTATAACATATCACTATAAGAGCTTCTTTCAGGTCTAACATATTTGAGTATGAGATATGGGAAATATTGCTCTCCAATATGAGCCATATCACAGAGTCCATAGGATTAATGATAGTGCTTGATTGAGACTAAATTGGACATGGAAATGTTTCTTGTACTAGTTCTATGTAAAATTGGGTGTATGTGTATGAGCTCCATCTTGGGTAAAGACATAGAGACTTCCAAATGTGGCTGACAACCAAGGCAATATGTCTCTCTCCAACATTTGTTGATGAACTCTCCTATTCACTTTCACTCTTTCTTCAATGAAGACCAAGGGTAATTTCGAAACATCAGAAGCAAACAGCAGCCCACATCATGATACCAGTGGTTTCTATTGCTTGAAATATGTTCTGATTTTTTCAGGAATGTTTTCTGGTGAAGTGGCATAAACCCTATCATTTTGGTAGTTGACTGCAGCCACTACAGTTAAAAACTTCTCATCTGACCAGATGAAGACTATGTCTGCAGTATGCTGCATCTTCTCTGACATTTTCTTACCTCTGCCAAGTCGTTTTTACTTGGAGTCACTTGAGAGTAGCTGTCATCATTGAATTTTGTATGATCTT